CTGGGACTCCTTTGAGATTACCGCTCTCACTGGTCAGTGCCCATCGACACGGACCATGCTTTGTTATGAATGCGATTATCCTTTCACCTGGTAAATTTCCGCAACAAAGCCACCGTAAAAGGATATCCATAGCACAATGTAAACAATAATTTGCAAATCGGTATTTGATGCGGAACTCACCGATCACATCTCGGTGCAACNAACCAACCCTTCAAAGGACTCGATGAACACAAGACGTTAACCAAGGAAGCGATCCAAATGTCGATCAAAACAAGGGCAGATTCTGGCTCGCGATCAAAGCACAAACGATGGACCTCATCGACCTCCGATGCCTTGCTAGACGCTTGCAGAACCGTTCCTCCCGATGTCAAGTATGACAGCAGGCAAATCCCTTAAATACGAGCTCATCAAGAGCCTGGAGAATGACCACGAGAAGTGGTAGGTAGAACAATGTGGAGTGATGGAGAAGGCTTCGACTATCGGCGACAGTGGCAATCTTTTCAGTTTAATCAAGAGTAAGAGCCGAAGAAAAATCAGCATGAGGTACTTAAGGAGTCTGACAGCGCACTGATTCACAGTCAGCGACGCCATCTTGATCGAAGGACTGATCACTTCAATGCTCGATTTAACTGCCCCACATCTGCATTAAAACTGTTAACCCTTAACGCGGAAATCAGTTTCCGACAGGGTTGTCCTCTCTGTTCTTTTTCTATTTCACTTCGTTATGGATTCGACTTTGGAGACCGTCCTGTCATCATACTAAGTTAGTGACATCGATTTGCTCCCAGATGGCAGACTGTCTAATTTGGAATATGCAGGCGATATTGTGCCACTGAGTGAAGATCCGGGTAGGTTGCAAGCTTTTCTGGCTAGATTGAGTGATAGTATAGTTATGTTTAGCAGTTGTTTTACATTTTCAAAGTGTAAAATGTTACCATAGGACTAGATTGATATAGTTCCCAACCTGACTCTAGCTAGAGAAATAATAGAGGAAGTAGAAAAGATTTGTATTTGGGGAGCTATATCTCACCCTGTGGAAGTATAACGCATGACGTGTCAGCTCATATACAGAAGGCTCGATTGGCATTTGCTAACTTGAGACATCTGTGGCGCCGTCGCGAAATCCGGCTGTCCGTGAAGGTTCGAGTGTATGATGCGGCATCAGTTCTCCCAGTTCCGCTATACGACACAGAGACTTGACCATTGGGAAAACAAGATAACTATAAACTTTCAGTTTTTTGAACTTCGTTTTCTACGCTACAATGTACGAGTTTGGTGGTGGTGGTGGTGGGGGAACCGGACAAGCAATGCTGAGGTTGGGCGCAGAGTTTTAGGTAACTGCAGTCGCCCACTGGAGCAAGTGATCGGATGTCCTTGATTAAAAGTTACATCAACTCATGAATTAACAATACTAACAAGATTATAGACGACGCGCTTCATGCACTACACCTTGATATATGTTATTGTCGTTACCATCCGTTCGACATTCTCGTATTTATAAGAATTCTCCCTTCCCTTACCAGACCCGACTCTTAACCAACAAGGAACGGGTCGTTAGTGAAAAAGTTGTCTGCATAAACCCAACTTTAGAAAAACAATTACGCCGTAAATTTTCCGAATTATTTGGTATTTTAGTTGGTGTGGTGATCAATATACATTTTGACCGAAAAGTAAGCATATACGCCCTCACAATTTATGGTACCTCTGAAAACGGAATCCTTGTAATTCACTGATCCAGTCAGCTGATCGATGCATTACTTTCATTGTCAGAATGAAAGTCATCAGTTCATGTTTGCCCATAAACTATGAATCGCGGCCTGTTAGACATTTTACAACGCCTTCACTCCTACCTCCAGAAGATCGAAATCTCTACCGCGATCCAGTGTCAAAGCCATGGAAATCAATCCATGTAAAGTCCTGTTTTGCTCAAAGTTTGCTTATGATAACCAGAAACTGATGCTAAGTTGCACTGATGATGTTGCTTAGTTTGGCCACGAAACGTCTGCAAAACAACATCTCACTAACACCAACACCAACGCCATGCAATCATCTCCATGAGCACCGGGTATATTTCAGCAGTGCGAATTCAAATCAAACCGTAGCCCATCCGTAGCCCATCAGGATCGCACGTGACTGAACGGCCTTGCTATCGCCCGAGCCGGTATTGACCTGCTCCAATACTTTAATCGTCTGTATGAATCATCTGTGAATCGTGCTGACACGATACACATACAGTCGTCCCGTTCCAATTCGGTGATTTGTATTCATCACAGACCGGAGGTGGATAGAGAATTCACAGCTACGATCATAGTGGTTTTCAGAAATGACCAAACCAGCTGACATACAAACCGACGAGGATTCGCGGGCATGAAACAATGCGCTATGTCCAATGCTTAGCTTTTTTAAAACTGATATTGAGTGGGCTTATTGACGGAATTCGATTCAAACCGACATCGGGACTGTCAATGGATTTGTATGATCGGACCGGTTCAAACTGGTTGTACCATCCCGTTCCATGTTCAAATCGAATCCGGATTAGAATTCAAAAATGTACACCCAACCGACTCCGGTCCTGGGGGTTGATGCGGTGGGGTCGTCCAGCGTATATTGTGCTGCGACGGAAAATCTGACAGACAGGCATCTGAGGCTCCGATCCCCGCCACGAGCATCACACTGCTGACAGCATACGAAGTCGATCACGTGATTTACCTCAATCCCGTTTTCACCCTCGCCTCAGACACACACACACACACACAGGCAGATAGCGAGAGCCAGAAAAAAATGCACACACACATACGTGTCCATTACAATAGGATCGTTACTGTTGGGCGTTGTGCTTTCAATCACGGTGAGGGTGTACACAGTGAAATTAAAAAAAACAAACAGAATTATCGAAGTAGCGCGCGCGCGCGCGCGCACGCGTACGTGCGTGTATGCGTTTGAAAGTTCTCTTGATTTGCCAACGAAGCACAAGAATACNGGGGGGGGGGGGGAAGGGAGATGGGTGTGAAGCAAATACAGTGGTACCGATCTGGGTGGACACAACACGGGAACACGTGCAAGCACAATTAAACAGACTAATTTATCAATCATTCCCTGAGACTGTATAAATATGTACACGCATACACGCACGTATAGCACTGTGCACAAAATTGAGTTTGTCTTTCTTGCATTGCGAATGTCTTTCTCAAGGACGAACAAACAGGTTAAGGGGTTGAGAGGCGTCGGAACGGGTAAGGGTGGAGGGTGAGTGAGTCAAATAAATGAGGGTAGGATCGAACTCAATGGCAAGGATGACTTGCATGATAGCACGGAAGCGATTTCGGATAACGGACAAGGGTGGGGAGGGCGGGGTTTTGTAGCTGTGTGTGTATCTTAACATACGAATCGCTGTTGTGGATGAAGATCAGGCGTTTTAATGTTAAAAGTATAATTATGTATAACTATATACAAGTACATGTATCGATTTAGTACACGATTTGGTCAAGATCGACCAAACGTGGTCAACCTGGCTGGCATATGCGATTCGGAAGCGGCAACCGCTAAAACGGGAGCCGGGAGACTGTGATACAATCGTCCTCCAGGTCGGTCTCGATTCAAATTAATCGTCGTAACTGATGCTATGTGTGATTGTTGTTGTGATGGTAGTGATGTTATGGTGCTGTTTGTGCAGTTCATCCCGGTTGTGTTCTCGACTGTACTTCCGTCACAGTTTGCTAAACCGTCCGGATCTTTACCGATACTCACACCAAACGGCGCGTTGATTGATTTGCTGCTCACATTGCACGGAGTCGAACTGGATGGGGTCGAATCGTGCGGAGCCGGACCACAAGAGCTGGTGGTATCGATCGACACATCGTATTCCGCCTCTGAGCCAGACAAAGATTCCTCACTGGATTCCTCGCTCTCACTGGGCACTTCAAGTCCGGTGAGGAGGCGAACACGCGTCTGATAGCTCAGACTCAGGGCTGGATAGAAGAGAATCGGTTTAGTCGGCCGCGCTTTTTCCCCGGTTGCATCGTCTGCCTCTGGTCCAAGTGTTTGGCGAGCATCCGCATGGAGATCACTGAAAGCGATCGGACCATGAGGTTCCCCATTCAGATAGAATGCCAATTGGCTTTGGTCACAGTCCAGTCGAACCCCGATAACAGTCGGACGGACAGATGGGCGCCGACCGGTGGTATTCGTGTTATACTCGGTTTCGTNACTAGCGGGAACAATGGATAACCCCCCGTCCGTACGATCTCGATGCTGACCGGCATGCAGAAACCAAGAGCGGGACGAGTTCAGATAGATAGCCCAACCGGCATTGTCGAGACCTAGGTGTTTGATATAACGGTTTCAAAAAAAAATAGAGTTTTATGTTGCTCAGTTGGAAAAATTGAATGGTTTAATAGGTAGAATATCGCGAGTTCCGATTGAATTTATAATGAATGGGAGATATGCGAAACAGAAGCTGTTCAGTCAAGCCCAGAGCTATCAGTAATCTCCCTGTTTTCCTACATATGGTACGCGGATGTGGCAGCTAAACAACCAAGAGAAACGGAANGTACAGATCTAATCGAAACTGAAGCAACGGGTCCCTGTGAAACACTTGTCGGTTCGTATAGACAATAGCATTTATATTAGAGTACATTTTTTCTCCAAATAATAATAAGCAAGCCTTGATGGGTCTTGTATAGACGTGATTTCCCCGATTCATTTATACTCAGCAGATGGAATGATTCCGAATGTAGCGGATATACGCATTTCGTCAGTACTGGTTGACCTAGACCGTGATGAGTTCAGAAGAAACTGAAGAGAATGGAACAGTTTTTATTTACAATAAATTGACATTCATAATAATTAAAATGTAAAGTTTATATACACTAATAGTCGATTGGTCTGCTTTGTTCTTTAGGACTTTTTCGAGTCTCTTCGGTATGGAATCTACCAATTTTGTTATAAAGTCATCTATTTGTGCTCCATTTTACGTATTGCACTTTGCCTCCGATGTCCAGTGTACGGGTAGCATATTGACCTCTCTCTTTAAAACAGAAAACCAATTTTCAATCAAGTTGAGATCCGGACTATAAGGGGGAAGTTGTATGAACTGGATCTTAGAGTCATGCATCTTTTCTGAAGTCTAAAAGCAGATAATAAGTAGATCAGTCTCCTTAACTGAATAAATTTACCAACCTCGCATGAAATATGACACGGAGCGTTATCCTAAAAATCGATAACTTCTCGAGACGATTTTTTTCATGAAATTCTGAAAGCATTTTGGTCATTACTGATGCAAATTTCCCACTATTCATGGTGCCTTTGACTGATGTCCACCGACAAAGCTGACCATGTTTTATCAAGCATAGATTACTACTATGAAACCTTATTTAATGCAATTTCTCCGGGTTGAAAAAGAATTTCATTTTGTTATTCAACAGAGTTGCTATTACGGATTATATATTGGATAAAATAATGCCTCACAACAAATAACCTAGCTAGCACGAATTAATGGAAATCATTTGGGATAATTCTTGGCTCACTCCGATTAGAATATATTGCATTTTCATACTTGGTAACGTTTGCAATTTTCACGTTGAGATTAATTGATCTTGGTAACTAGGGTCAGTCCCGTTTAATTGGCACTTATGCAGCCTAGATCGAAGTAGATAAGAGATAAACTATTGCCCATACTTAAGGTATTTTTATAGGTGATAAATATAATGAAACTCAATTTTATCAGAAAGAAACTATTTTACTGCATAACAATCGACCAGACATCAACATCATCATCATCATCGTCATCATTATCGGCCAGTACTGTATAATGACCTCAGTTTGCTACGTGTGGCTGTTAAATCGATTGAGTAATGTCTGTTCCGGTCACGTGATCGTTTGCTTTCGCATACAGCGGAATATCTGTTGTTTCTAGCCCCAGTAAAGATGATACTTCGGATACATACGGGTTCTGTACATAAGTCAGTGCCTAAATGACCGGACTCTTTTGTCCCATATGGTTCATATACAAAACCTTACTCTATGACTGCAAACACGCTTACATCGTAAACACCTATCAGTCCCACTATTCCCACTCACGTTCACTCTTATTTCGGGAATCTTAGATGAGTGTCCTTGCAGTATTGCGTCAGACAGAAATCCTGCCCTTATCTTATCTCACTAGCTGAAGGTCTTCTTTATTCCCGATAGTCCAGCAAAATAGCTTCTGGTCTTTCTGGTGTTCGTCCTAACGGACTGCCGAATTCCAGTCAGCTATTCGACTATCTCATCCAGATCACCGATAGGCAAGCTCTGAATGTGAGTGAAACGATCTGCGAAACTGACAGCTCGCTTATTCACAACCAACAGCGAAAGCTTGCAGGCTGGTCAGAGCAATTCGAGGCAAGGTTAAGCTGACCACCAGCATCAGCTTCTCGCACAGTTATTGCGGAACAAGTCTCATGTTCTGTCGCGAAAGACTCATTTGAGGCGAATGTCCACAAAGAGATTCAAACCCTGGGCTCCCTAGGTCCATTGAACGAAGGCGGGTGAAGCGTGTTAGAGAAGCGGAGGTTCTCTTGTCCAAAGTTTGGCACACCGAGCAGATCCAATCTTCGTGTAAGTAATCGATTGTCGTCCCCAACTTTGTAAAAGGGCCCGCACAGTGACTGTGCCAATCATAGGAGTATATGTTTGATTCAAATAGCTGTTAATTCCCGTCATTCTTTGTAGATTGTACACTGCGCGTGGGGAGCAAACACTCAAGGAGCAGGTTGGGCTTCGCACCGATCGTGTGGGTGCATCGATCAGAGCTAGCCGCTAGAACACCGTCATACCGAATAACGGTCACTGTGTTCTTATAAGATCGAACAATGAAACATTTTGTTGAGGTATGGAGTACCAAAGAAGTATCTGTCGATTATCAAAAAAGCTGTATCGCCATACCTCAGGTCGGGTTAGGGCCTATGACCAGTTTTTGCCACCTGTCTCCTGTGCGGTTAGACCGGCTTTCCTTATATCTTCATTTCTTTTGAACGTAGCCGAACAATATGTTCCACAAAATGCTTTACCCGGTCTAGCAAACAGTCTAGTAGAACTCCTCCCAGGGAACAGAGTTCTTGACCTAGAATGGACCGATCACATCACACTGTCCAAAACACCTTAATCCCCTTGGCGATCAAGGTATCCAGGTATGCCATGTGCTTTGAACCATCCAAGTGCAAATGGCTTTTACAAGACTGGCAGGATCACTTTGCCTGCACTCGCCCCCCCCCCTATTATTATGGGCTAGTAGTAGTTCAGAGCTTTAACTACCTCGGAAGCTTGATCGTAGCCGTAGCTGGAGCTGGCGAAAAGATGACGTCACGAATATCTAGAGCAACTTTTGCCAACATGTAAGATCGGTGGTGTCGCCATGATATCCAATTATTCCTTATATTCGGAGGGTGTAATGTTGAGGATTAGTTCGAAATATCATAACTGCAGAATATATAATGAAGATGTACAAACACACAAACACACGGGCGAAAACGAACGAAAACATACCGAGCATTCGATCTCGAGCTACGGAGCTCAGGGCAACACCGAACGACGGTTGTCCTCGACCATCGTACACTTCGACTTGCCACTCCCAGTAGTGTACTCCGTGTGAGAGGCCCACATCGCCCAGGAGCACGTGATCCTCAGCCTCGCCCAACGCACTGACTACCGTCCCATCCACGTCCACGTGTAAAAATGCCGAGTGCGTGGGAATTGTGAGTCCCGAGGTGGGATCAATGCGGAATGTGGCCACTGGGAACAGATGTACGGTTGATCGATAGAAATCACAGAAACGGGACGTGTGCGTGTGTGTGTGTGTGTGTGTGTGAGAGAGAGAGAGAGAGAGAGAGAGAGAGACAGGAGGTTCAAAACCTTGCCAATCTTGTGGGCTTTAATTTCACAGCATTCAGCAATTAACTCCTGGCATACATAATTCAAATGTAATCCTGTTGAGGAGCCCAAATCTATTTATGTCCATCTGCATGTTTTCCGTGATCATCACACTTATCAATCAATATCACTGTTATCGTGACAGCAAATAATTAGAAGGAAAAAATCAACCACAGCCATCTTGAGCGGAACTCCGATTACTGGATCATTATGAAGGATACTAATAACTCACAATGAGTAGATGGTTGGATGGATGGGTGGATGGATGGATGGACGGATGTGACAAGATCCTGGCGTTCTAATGAAAGCCTAGTCGCTCACGTGTGAAACGACATGAGAACAGTTGTCTGATTAGACACCGCGTCTTCACAATGGCGACGTCATACTATCTCGTGAATTGATTGATAACAATATACAGAGAGGTGAAGCGATTCCCAGATTATCAGAGTTGCGTTCAGTCAATAAATTTGGGAGTAAATGATCAAGCCAGACCAAGCCAAACGAAATCAAGATACGCTTAACAATTTGCAAATTTAGAAATATCGATTTGAAGAAAACTCGGGAATAAGTCTAGAATCGCGGTTTCGCGAAAATTGTCAGGGAAAGTAAAGAACTGCACTATCTCTGCAGGACTATGAGCAAAAATAACGGATGAATCAATAAATATGTACTACTCAAGAACTCTAACGAGAATTTCACTTTTGAGGATTAAGGAAATAACCGGAGAGATGAGAAAGGGATTTTTCGGAATGAGTGCTTAAGAATTTAGGAACAGACTGAGACACACCAGGCCAGTGCAGAGCTTTTCCTTAGAAACCCTTATCGGAGGCTTTGAATTAAGGCAATGACCAGGACGTGGATGAAACCTTCCCGTAAGGGGCTACTGAATACCACTCTCGTAAAGCCCGAGTGTCTGGGTTTAACTGCCTGTTCCTTGATGATTTTTTTGTCTGTCTGCCTCAAACATACTCAGATGAGACAGATGAAACGTGATTAAGAGAGCAGTTTATTGTCTGGGAATTTCCTTTCTTCGGAGGGTGGCAACTGTCCACTGGAGTCATTCACCGTTGATAGGAAGCCACGGATACATTTCTCCTACGTCAATCTAACCGGGGGTCTTCGATCAGTAAACTGTCCCTTACCGTGGTTCCTTACTGAGACGATCTATCCAGAGGAGATTGGGTGGTAAAAGAAAGCCAGAGGGTTCAGAAGCAATGGAGCCTGTGCGACTGCGCTTTGTCTGGCCTCTAACCACTGACCGGTTGGATGTGATTGGATCTTCGGTTGTAAGAAGCTACTTGGCATAAGGTAATCGGTTTGCAAATGCTTACAAGGCATCATACCGTCAACCTGCAATCTCGTCATGATGAGCTCTTACAATCGGGAAATTTTTTTATTCTGAAGCTTCCCGGGGGTGTAGAATTTACTGAGTAACCTAAAGGTTGTGCGTGCAAAATGAACTCTGAGGGATATATATATATATATATCGATATTCAGTGAGGAACTCACAGCGTGAAGTTCGTAGTGTGACAATCTCACTGTAAGCACTGTAGCCAACCGGATTGGCCGCTCGCACACGAAGACGATAGGAAGTGTTGAACTGAAGACCCTCGAGACGACAAACCATTTCCGGTCCGGTATAGGCAACCTATATATAAAAAGAAAAACAAACATATTTTTGGCTTTGAGGCATTGAAACCAATCCGCTAATGATTTCATGAACGTGCATAGATTATTTTGCGCAGCAGGGTGGTTTCCCAGTCCTGTTTACCTCGGGGTCCTGTGCGAGTAGATGCGCAAATCAGGGTTCAAACGAGAGTTGTTGTTTCATTGGTTCATCGGAGGACTTAAGTACACTTGTGAGCTGATAAAAGACGAGTGATCGATTTTTGGCAGCAGATTTGACACGGACACTCACAAATGGAAAGGAGAGTAACCGAAAGTTCTGGCGAGAGGGTCAGTTGCATGAATTTGATCGAGGTTAGCCAAGAACCGTGTGTGTCTATCAGATAACATAACGTATCCAGATGTATTGGCATGAATAGGAGTCACTGCAAACCAGCTGATTCCTTTGTTCTGTTTAAAATTGAACAAAGCCAATCACTGTAAGCCATTTGAAAGCATCGAGACCCTGCACAAGGGGGACCAAGCGGAACACAGCTCAGTCACATTGCCTCGGAACTCACCAAGAAGCAAACCCCAATAGAGTCACGTAAATTCCCCATCTGACTGTATCCTACCATAACGTAATTGCATGAACATTGTCATTCCCCAGTGAATGGAAGTTGATTGATGTGTCCGTATCGTCAAACCATTTGACACATCTCGTACAGCTTCAGTATTTCCGTATAACATGAGATACTTCTGTGAGTAAAAGCCTCAAATGTAACACAAACTGTTCACCGGTTTTCATTCACAAGCCCTGAAATGGATCAAGATGTACTGCAGTAAAAAAAACGAATGCTTCGGTGCCGTATCTCCACTTCAAGTGAAACTTGGTTTTGACAGGTGGATGGATGCATTAAAAGTCTGAGAATAATAAACACGGTGTTCACAAAAGACATCAGCGTTAAAACACCTTCCCCCTCCCTCCCTTCCTCCCATCAAGCTTTTGATGAAAACCGTAATTCTTGAGTATCGACCGTCGTAATTATGTCAAATGTTGCAGCGTGCAAAAAAACTGATGCGTATTTTTCTGAACGGTGTTCATCATCCTCAGACTGTGAATGCATCCACACATATCACGAACGGAGTTCACTTTAACTAAAGGTGCGCACCCGATGAGCATCCACTGTTTTGTGATATCACTTTTTGATTTATTTCAGGGCGAAGGCGAAACAATGTACTGTTTCTGTTATATTTTTGATATTTTTACTCACTGGATTAATGCATTATAGATTTTCCCTGTAGTATAGTCAGTCATACGGCGTTCAATTCGTCGGTAACGGGGCTATATAAAAGCATACCACGATAGGAGGCAGTAATATTTGTTGTACCTTATATACCGTTGCACGTATCTACACTATGGAGAGTGTTGAACCGAATGTTCGGAAATAACCCTATCGATTCACCAGCGTGGAGGACAGACGAAGAGCACGCAGAGGTGATGACATAGAAGAAGTTGCGAAGCGCCTCAG